AAGGTGCACATGTGGCTTGATGTACCATCGTTGTAATTACATATAAAACTTTGTCTATACTCTAATAAAAAGTTCCCAGACCAAAGAGGTCACCTTAATACCAAAAAAAAAATTATTATTTAATAAACTTATAACTATTATTTAATAATTTTTAACTATTATTTAATAGGCTTTTGTAATTTACTGCCATAGCGATGTATCGCCAGGGTGATCAACCAATCAGTTTGTATCACATGATCACGCGATTCAAATACATATTAATATATTATTAATCAAATATGGTATATATTATAAAGTTATTATCGGATATATGACTAATAATAAACGTTTATTAAAATAAAAACACTCAAACCCTAATATTATATAAAACGCAGCTCAACATATTCAGGCAACTCACATAACCCTATCTAAAACGAAGCTCAACAAATTCAGGCTATTCACCCTAACCCTATCTAAAATGCGGCTCAACAATTAAAATAAAAACACCCAAACCCTAACCTTATCTAAAATGCAACTCAACTTATTCAGGAAACTCACCCTAACCCTATCTAAAACAAAGCTCAACAAATTCAGGCTGTTCACTCTAACTCTATCTAAAATGCGGCTCAACAAATTCAGGCCGTTTGCCCTAACTCTAAAAATCTAAAAAACCAAATGCAACAGCCTAAAATAGACGATGAAAATGAAATAATACACCACAAAAGATGAATAAAAAAGTGTAACCAAGACAAAGGCCCAAATACCACAGCCTCTAAAATAAAGTACCAAGAATGATGATGACTTCAAAAGAGCGACGATGAAACGAATAAAGGCTACAAAAACCAAAGCAAAAGTTAGTATGCAATGAAAAAAAAGTATGCAACTCTGAAAGTGACAACAGCGTCTCTAAAAGAGTACCAAAACGATGATGCACTGAAATTCATATCAAGATTCCAAAATGTTGACTTCAAAGCGACGACAAAATGGACAGAGGCTAAAAAGTTTGAAGCAAAAATTAGTTAGTAAGAAACAACAAAAAAAAAAAAAAAGAGCTTGTAATGGCAAAAACGACGATGTCTCTGTAAGAAACACAAAAAATGAAAACGTCTCTGAAAGAAACACCAAAAACAACGGTACACCGAAATCTACAACAAGGCTCCAAAAGGGCGACACCAAAAGCAACGACTCCTCTAAATAACATGAAATTGACAAAAGCTAAAAAATAAAGCAAAGTTAGTAAGAACTAAAGTAAAAAAAACAGTCTGGTAACTCCAAAAAAACAATTCCAGAAATGATGGTTCCAAAAAGCGATAACTCAAAGAACGATTCCGGAAACAACGATTCAAAAAGCGACGATTCCAAAAAGCAACCCAAAAACAACGCGAAGCTGTAAAAAGCTACAAAAAAAGTCAAAGTGAATGTTAGTAATTCTAATAAAAAAAAAAAACAATGACAAAAAAAGAGAAAGTTAGAAATAAAAAAATCTAATCATATTTATAATGATCAGGTTACACAACTATGGGTGGCGATAAATCGCATATGTGATAAATGATTAAATCCTATTTAATAAACTTATAACTATTATTTAATGATTCTTTAACAATTTTATAATTATTAGTTAATAATTTTATAACTATTATTTAACAATTTTATAACTATTATTTAATAATTTTATAACTATTATTTAATAATTTTATAACTATTATTTAATAAATTTATAATAATTTTATAAATATCATTAAGATTATTATTAAATTTTAAATATCTGAAAAAAAAATATAAGGTTTCTGTAAAGTGTGTCATGGTATCAAAGAAAGTAATACTGCATAAGGCTGTGTATGTAAATCCTCGATTGGCTAGGTAGCACCAACAACCCTAAGGCAGTCTTGGAAATCTTGATTGGGAGGATGGCTATATGCAGTATATCCAGAAGTGGTAAGAGAAGCGGCAAATACAGTAAAAGGCTGTGGTAAGATGGCTTTACCAAATAAAGAAATACTTCTGGCACACAAGATTGGAAAATTGGAAAACACTGCATATCACAATGTCGATGATAGGTGCCATACTGATGCGCTATAAGTCAAGGTTCCAGGTGCCCTTGCATCACCAAGCTAGAAGTAAAATGATCGTCAGTAGTACACCCATATAACATAGTTATAATGGGAAGCTTTGGCGCCCATACTACAGTCAATCATACCAACTATGGGAGCATTGTATAAAGTAGGTGGTATACAACTAGAGATTCAATAAATCTGGCCATGCTATATGGTACCAATACATGGAGGGCTATATACACCAATATGGGAGCAAGAAGAGCAAAAAACTGCCAGAATGAACCAATTTGGGAGAATTATAAGGTTGCTGCAGAAAGTAGATAGGGGAGTATAATAAGTATGAAAATAGATAACAATAAAAAATCTTGTAATATAGTATGTAATTGAGGACTAATTAAGAAGGTTGAAATTGAAATACAGATTGTGTTACGGCCACATCCCAAAAGGTGGCATGAGATATGAACACAATAGCAGCAGTCAATATATACTGATTAAGAAGAAATTACAGAAAATAAATAGTTATATGGGTGGGACATGTAATGGTAGGTTGCTCCAACTGACCCTAGCTTGAAGTTGGCTTGAAATAGTTAATAGAAAAGTAATATAGAGAAAATAAGGAGTATATTGCTATATTGGGTGACTAGTAATAGTAGTACAAATATAATTAGAAACTGTATATCAATTGCTCTGTAAAAAAGGTGTCAATCCTGACTAATAAAGTTTCTACGTTTGGCAATAAAAAAAAAATAATAAAACTTCTAGTAAGTTACAGTATATAATAATCTATTATAAAACTTTGTTAAATAGTTACCTTTATATTTAACTTTTTTGATCAAAAATAGTATAGAAATAGCTTATAACAACAATAAAAAACTGGTCTTATAGTATATATAGTATATAATAAATGCATGATTTGATTGGTCAATACTTATATATAAATCTTTTTTTTTTATATTGCCAAATGCTGCTATGGCCGACTTTTATTAGATATAAATTTGTTACTATAGTAACATTACAAATACTTATGTATAGTAGTATATTTTTAGCATGTGAGAGTACAACTAGCCACATGCATACCTTTTAAGTAGTCCGCTGAAGGTTCTACACTAGCTGATATATCTGTAACCAAACTAGGGGGTTATCTATTTAAACTCTCTGGTACCCCAATTCTGCATTACCCTATTTTAAGTTGTTCACCATACTCTTGTGCTGCAATCTATCTAGTTAATATCTAAATAGAGACCACCCAGGTCAGCATTCACCCACTGGCTTAACCTTTTAGTAGACAACCATTGAAACTAATTATTGGTATTACCCAAGGATGGGCGCAGTAGATGCTTATATATAAATCTAAATTTGGTAATCTAAATAAAAAGGCCTAAATTTACAAATTGGCTAATATGAGTTTCTTGATTAGTAAGATTGTTAAATATATTTTGTTTAAAAATTTTATACTATAAATTTCAAGTGCTTTACTAAAAATAAAATAATACTCTTCACTTGTAAGATTTTAAATGTACTATTTGTAATAATTTTTATAGCTGCAAATCTGTACTAAAATTATAAAAATACTATATTTATTAATTCATAATATAATAGCTTTATATTTTATATAAATTTATTTAATATATAAATATAGTTTAAACTTCAAACTAGTTAGCAAACTTTGAATTAAATTTAAATCAAACTTGATTCTTAATCTATAATAAAACCAGTAAAAAAGCTTAGTAAATTTTGAAATAGTTGTTGAAATCTTGAGTTTTTTTAAACCAAATTAATTTTTGCTTAGCAAATCTGTTTTTAACTTCTAATAAAAGTTGTAAAAAAAAAATTTTAGCATAATAGTAGTTAAAATAGGTTGTATATCAGAATCCTGACACACAAAATCCCAATATACAAAATCTCAGCAACAAAATTCCGATAAATAAAATTCTGACAAATTAAAATTCTAAAGATATTAAAATTAGAATTTTAATTTGTTGGGATTTTGTATATTGGGATTTTGTTGTCGGAATTTTGTGTGTCAAGATTTTGTGTGTTATATACAACCGTTAAAATATTAAAATTGGCTTAGTAAATTATAAGAAATAGATATTTTTGTTTTCACTATTATATATTAACATTTTTTGTTTATATAAAGAAGTAAATATATAATTATAAAGACAAAAACATTTATATTTTGTAATTTACTAGATTAATTTTAATAGTTTAACTAATATTTTGCTTAAAATTTTTTTTATATTTGTTAAAAGTTAAAAAGAAGTTTGTTTAGTAAGAAATTAATTTATTTGTAGAAGAACTCCAGATTTCAAAAAAGACAAAATTCAAAAATTAAACTCTTTTCAATGATTATTTATATCAAAATTTTTATTAAAAAAAAAAATACAGTTTTGTTAGAGTTGTGGTTTAATATTGTGGCTTGATTAAAGATTAAAGTTTTTTGTACACAGAACTTCTCTATAAGTAATAGCAAGCCAAGAGTATTATTGTACAAGATAACTGGCAGGAGGTGGTACCTTTGTATGAAAAATCTTGGTGAAGAGATAAATGTCAAAAGAGCCTTTGGTCTCCTCTGTTAACAAAGATTTTAGATTGTTACTTCATAGAAGAACATAGAAGAAGCAACAAATATATTTTTTTTAAGCTTTACTCCTTTTTTTTGGTCAAGTAGTTACTTTTTTAACTATTCTTGCTTTCTCATCAGGCTTCTAAAAAATTTTTGCAAAAAGTGAGGATTTAGCTTACCTCTTTCAAAAGATTGGTATTGTTTATAGGATTTTGTAATATACCGCCATGATAATATATTGCCACCCCTGATCTACTAATTAGAATGCATAATCAGGTGTAACGTAAAATCGAAGCGATTATAGTTTTTTTTCAAAAATCGGCCATAGTGCAAAATTTTCACTATGAAACTATCTGTTGTGCTCTAACAAAAAAAATTTCTCACAAAATTTTGGGTTTAGAGCTTTTTAATAAAGCACTTTACCCTAATACAAACTCTAACCTAACCCTAACCTTACCCTAACCCTAAATTAACAAATTTATTTATTGTTTTGATTTTATGTTACACCAGATCTTATAGGGGGTGATCATTACCAGGGCAGTATATTACTAAATTCTTGTTTATATTCTAATTTAGAACAACATATTAGATTGCAACCATGTATTTGATGAATATGGTACTGCTACTTAGAATTGAGCCCAGGCAACAAACTTCTAGTGATAGCAGCAAGTGGCTTAAATTCAGATCTATATATAGTGGTAGCATCTGGCTTGAAATATAGACTAGAATAGGCTTAGTAAATTACTTGAAGTTGGTTGAAAGGTTAAAAAGTAACTTAAAGTCAAGGTGAAGCTTTATAGTAGAGATATACAAATTTGCATTTATTATATAATTTTTTAGTAATTATGCATAGGCTATAATAGTACTTTTAGGATTTTAGATTTCTTTTTATATTTTTCTTTTTTGCAATTAGTGTTTTCTTTTTCTTTTCTGTTTTTGCTTTTTTTTGGTTATTTTTATAACTTTTTTTGTTAAATTTTACTCTTTTGTCTTGTGTTTTTGAGAAAAAAAAAAGAATTAGAAGAGAAAAAGAGATTCTAACATAGTGTACAACAACCTGTTAATAATCTTTGAGGGTATTTAATATTTAATACAAAATTCAAAGCAAGTTATGAATTCTAGGAAAGACTAGGGATGGCATCAGCTTGGCTCATAAAGCCGTGCCAGCCGGCTTGAACCTGCTCACGTGATAAGTGACAAATTCGAATTTGTCATGTGATAAAATCAAAATTAATGTGACAAATTCGAAGTTATCACGTGACAAATTCGAATTGATGTGATAAAATCTAAGTTATCACGTGACAAATTCGATTTTATCACATCAGCTATGAGCCAGCTCGAGCCGGCTTGACAGCTTGGCTCAAAAGCCATGACTAAGCCGGCTTATTATAAGCCAATGCCATCTCTAGAAAAAACTAATAGTTGTTATAGCAGGTTATATTGGGTATTATGCTTTATGAGTTATTATTAGAACAGTAAGCAAAAAATAATATATGATTGCCTGTTTATATATATATCTTTTTGTAGTTAATATAAATAAAAGCAGAATTGCTTATAAAAAAAAAAGACAAATTTATATAGTAAACATATTCAAAGTTTACTATAT